CTCTCTCTCTCTCTCTCTCTCTGAACTGTATTCTTTTTTTATGTTTTTTTCTTGCTTCTGTTTTCTCTCGTGTTTTTTCTTTTCCGGTCCTTAATTTTACTAATTTTTCCCCTCCTCCCCCTTTCTTTATTTTCATATTTTTCCTTTTTTTACTGTTTCCCTCATGCTATGGAGAAAAGGGAATGTTATTCTTTCTTTTTATTTATTTTTTCGCGAGAGCAGAAAACTTCCGTCGGAGAGGCAAGGTGGGGTGGGGGGAGGGGAGGGGGGAGGGGGAGAAGGAGAGGGAGGGGGAGGGGGGGTGAGGGGTACACAGCTCTCTTCCCCTTGTTTTCTCTCCGTGTTTACTGAGCAGTTAAACCCGTTGGTGTCTTTCATCCCGCTGAAGGAGAGGGGAGAGAGAGAGGGGAAAGAGGGGGTGGAGGGGAGGGGAAAAGTGGGGGGAGGGACGGAGGGGGAAGGGAGAGAGGAAGAGGGGGTAGGGAGGGAGGGAGAGGAAAGAGGGGGTAGGGTACGGAGGGGAAAGAAGGGGGTTATGGACGGAGGAGAAAGGGGGGAGGGAGGGGAAAGGTGGGGTAGGGAGGAAGGGGAAAGAGGTGGGAGGGTACGGAGGGGAAAGTGGGGGGGGAAGGAGGAGGAAGGATTATGAGGAAGAAGGGAAGGAAGGGAAAGAGAAAGGGGGAAAGGGGGAGGGTATGGTGAAGGAGGGATGGAGGGGGAGGAAGAAGAGACGTATGGGGTTGGGGGGAAGGAAAGAGGGAAGGAAGGAAGAAAGAAAGGAAGTACAAAGAAATGGAAGGAAGGAATAAGGGAAGGATGGAAGGAAGGAGGGTAGGAAAGAAGGAAGAATGGAAGGAATAAGGGAAGAAAGGAAGGAATGAGGGAAGGAGGGAAGGAAGAATGGAAGGAATAAGGGAAGAAAGGAAGGAATAAGGGAAGGAGGGAGGGAAAAACGCGAAGGGTTTACCACAGCATCATTGTCTTCTCGCCAACGAAACGCCCTCGCGAAGTGAAGTCTCGGGCGCGGGCGTTTCCTCGCTGCTCGAAGGGCGGGCGTCACGTATAGGCCTAGGTGAATAGCAAAACATTCTACGCTGACAATAAACTTTTCTCGGGTATAGTGGGTTTTCACGTCATAGGCCTGGTTGAGGGCCTGTCTCGGGCGAAATGTGTCATAGGAGAGAGAAGGTCAGGGTGGGGGTGGGGGGAGGGGGAGGGGGGAGAATGTCATTCGAGCCTATTTCTCTCTTCCTCTCTTTTCCTCCATCTTCTGCCTCCCTTCCTTTTTTCCTTTCCCTCTTTTTCTTCTCTTCCCCCACTACCCTTCTTCCCTTTTACTCCTGTCTCCTCTTTTCTCTCTTACCCCCTTCTCTTCCACGCCTCGTTCGCTTAATCCCGCCCTCCCCCCCTCCCCTCCACCCTTTCCTCTCTTCGACTTCCCCATCTCCACTATTCTCTTCCCCCCTCCGCTTTCTTTCTTTGTCTTTTTTCTTTCTTTGTTTGTTTCTTTGTTTACTTTACTTCACTTCTTTCCTTCCTTTTTCCTTCCCTTCCTTCCTCCCTTTCTTCTTAATTCTCTTCCTCCTTTCCTCCCTCTCTTCCTCCGTCTCTCCCTCTCCTTCCTTCCTCCTTCCTCCTCCCTCCTCCCTCCACCCTCCCTCCCTCTATCCCTCCATCCCTCCCTTCCTTCCTCCTCCCTCCCTTCCTCCCTCCTTCTCTCCCTCATTCCATCCCTTCCATCCTTTCTTCCTTTCTTCCTTTATTTCTTTCTTTCTTTCTTTCTTTCTTCCTTTCTTCCTTTTCTCCCCAGACACGTTGATACAGATTCCTGAGGCGCGTGGGGGTGACTGATCGTCTTTCGAGGAAAACCTAGAGGAGGGATCCCAGCTTTGTCATACGGTGGGGGGGGGGGGGGCTTGTCTCGTCCGTCTCTTATCTATTCCTGCAAATGACAGCTGTTCGTGATTTCCCTCACTCTGCGCTTGTGAATGACAGGAGAGTGGTTGGTTGTTGGGTTTCGTTTGAAGGGTATGGACAAGCACGGAAGCACACGCACATACAGTTACGCGCACACACACACACACACATAAACACACGCACGCACGCACGCTCGCTCGCTCGCTCGCTCGCTCGCACGCACGCACGCGATTCTTCCTATATTCTTTCTCTCCTTCTGTCTCCCTTTCTCTCTTCTCTCTTTTTTCTCTCTTTCTCTCTTTTTTTGTGCATATTAAGTGCACTCAAAGTTGCTTGTTTATATTGTGTATTTCTTCTTGTTTATTATTTTGTTTCTTTTACTTCTCTCTTCTTTCTTTTCTTTCTTCTCTCATTATTTCTCCCTTCCTTTCCTCTTCTCTCAGAATTTTAGTCCCGACAGGAACGAGGAGTAAAAAAAAAGAAAAACAGAGAAAGAGAAAAAAAAACGAAAAGAAAGAGAAAAAAAGGAAAAGCAAGAAGCTAAATCAAAAGGGAAAAGAAGAAGGAATTAAGAAACGTGATA